GCCCCCAACAATTTGGGTCCTCATTTTACCCATCTTGGAAGGATGGAAGACTGAGTCAACCTTGAGCCTGGTAAGTTTTGAACTGCCAAATTGCAGGTAGCTGCCAGCCGCCAGTCAGCAGAAGTAGCCTGCAGCACTGCACTCTAACCACTGCCCCACCGTAATAATTTAAGATTCTACAAACACCAATTCATTCATACTTCTATGGGATCTCTCCATTTCTTTCTGGTCAGAAATTCTACTTTTCTCTCCGTTCACTTGCACTGCAAACTGGTGGGATGAAAACGAGGCGTCATTTCTTTTTGTTCTTTTCTGCATTTGTATAGGGTTTCTCTTCCATTGCTTTCAAAATAAAGGAGATAATTAGACAGCCCACTGTCAGGTCTAACGGCACAACCAATCTATGGTCATGGAAATGAACTAGGATCCTGCCATTGGGGTAAGATGTAATGTAGCATGGCATCTTTCTAAACCCATTCATAAAAGAAGACAATACTGTATTCTTGACTTAGTGCTATTATACATCAATCTCCTAATATAGAATTTAACTTGGAAAAAAATCATCTTACAAAATTTAGCATAGGTCAACTGGCTATATCTTACTTTTCATTTTTGGCACTGTCTCACTTTTCCAGTTCTAGTTTTCACAATTGAAAATGAGTAAAGTCAAGTCACTATTTTTGCAAAAAGCACAGAGAGTTTGCCTTGGAATATCAGCAGAAAGAGACTTGACAAAGTGGCATACATTAATTACTCATGGCTCCTTTGTTTATTCCTATATTGGGTTACTTTCTTAAGAGAGCCAAAACACATTGACATCTGGACATCAAATAAAAGAACACAGCAATCAAATAGGCATAGACCTCTCAAACTATCAAGTTCTAGACACAAAGTCAATGAGGTATGCAGATTTCTTGAGAATAGAAAAAGAGGCTGTGAACTGAAAGTTTCTACAAATTATTCAGAAATTTCCAATTCCAGGTTTACAGCTAGGAATGCCATCAATAATTGGAAGAGTGTTTTACTAGGAGCAGGGAGTAAAGTCTATGATCTCAGTTTATGAGATTTTGGCCATATCTTCATTCTCCTCTGCTTCATAGCCTCTTCTGGACACAAGAAATCCCATCAATAGAGTCATGAAATCAGATTTATTAGCTGTCATTTTTCCACAAGAAAAATGGCGCAAAGTGCTACACTTGATATTAGCCAAAAGGCCAAAAAACCTGCACTTAGTTACGGGATTTAATATACTATAACTGTAAAGAAGAGAAGAGAAGAGAAGAAAGAGAAGAGAAGAGAAGAGAAGAGAAGAGAAGAGAAGAGAAGAGAATACTTTATTTGACCAAGTGTTATTAGACACAAGAAATTTGTCTCTGGTGCAAAAACTCTCAATGTACATGCAAAGTAAGAGAGTAATAATAATCATAATATGATACCAACAAGAGGGGGGTAGTAGAGAAAATGAGAAGGATAATAATAATAATAATAATAATAATAATAATAATAATAATAATACATCCACACAACATGAGTAAAAAACAATATTATGAGGATTAGGTGTTCAACAAAGTGATAGCGCAAGGGGAAAAACTGTCTCTGTGTCTAGTTATTTTGGCACAGTAATGCATTACAGGGGTGTCCCGAGGAGAGGAGTTGAAACAGTTTATGTCCAGGAAGTGAGAGATCTATAGATATTTTCTCAGTCTACCTGATCCTCATAATATACACATTCTCAATAGAAAGCAGGCTGCTTGCACTTGTTTTTCTGCAGTTCTAACTATCTGTTGGAGTCTACCTGTCCTGTTTAGTTGCTGTACCAAACCAGACAGTTAGTTAAAGTTAGATTAAGTATTTAAAGGTAGTACAATGGACTAAAGCACTGTTATTAACAGATTAACATCTGCTGCTTGCAATTACTGCAAGTTCAAATCTCACCAGGCTCAAGGTTGACTCAGCCTTCCATCCTTTCAAAGGTAGGTAAAATGAGGACCCAGATTGTGGGGGCAATAAGCTGACTTTGTATATAAATATACAAAAGTATGAAGGCTATTGCTTAACGCATTGTAAGCCGCCCTAGTCTCCGGAGAAGGGTGGCATATAAATTAAAGCAAAAAAAAAAAAAAAGTTAAATATTTAAGAATCTATGGGTGAAAAATAAGAATTTATTTATAAATAGTAAGTTATAAATAATAACTAATTAATAATTTAGTATTTATAAATAAAGCCTTATATTTCACCCATAGATTCTTGAAAATTTAACCTTTAAATACAGTTCCTATTGAGTTGGAAAGGAATAATAGCACATATTTCTAGATTGGGGAGAAAAAAGACCCTAAACTTGTCTTGGTTAAGAAGAGTTTCAGCAATTAAGATTAATTACAAAACTCAATTTTCTTTTTCAAATGATCCCAATACCTATTGAAAATATTAAGTGACTAGTATAGATTAAAAAAATCAAGTACATCTGGTCTAGTATAAGACCAAGTATTAAAATCAAGATTTTACACAATTCAAAACAGAAAGATAAACTAACTGTTCTAAATTTTAAATTGAGTTTTAATGTTAGTTATTTAACATGGATTTTAGACTGGACTATATATCCCTTTATGACCTGACAACCTCTGTGGAATGAGTGGGACTTTCAGATGGTCTACATAAATATCTTTGGGTCAATAGAAACGAGAAAAAAACAATGTATAAGAAATAATGTAACAAGTAGCAGTGTACTTATATGTCTGGGATAAATATAGAAAAACGATAAGCCCAGATTTCTTCTCTATTCTATATCCTTATCAAAGGGTTTTTCTATAAAAAGGAAGGCGCTGAGGAATTCACTTATTGAGAAACAATTTATGCAGATTGCAAAACTTAATTATATTAATAAGATTAAGATAAAATCTTAAGAAACTCCTATGTCACCGTAGCCCAGTCCCCCTGAATTAGCTTTGCATAAATTAAATGCAGAAAAGATATTATACACTTTTTACTGGAAAGGTCATCTGATTCCAGGGATGGGCTTCAGATTCTTTAGCAATGGGTTTGCTGCCCCATTGCTAGGTGGGTGTGACCATGGTGGGCACCTAGTCAGTCGCCTGCACCACAGTGGGGGGGGGGAGGTGTTTCACCCTCCCCAGGCTCCAGAGGCTTTCCTTGAGCCTCCAGGAGGGTGAAAACAGCTTCCCCTGGGGTCTGGAGGCCTTCTGAAGGCCCAAAACAGGCCCGTTTCTGGACTTCCGGAACCTCCGTTAGGCCCGTTTTTTGCCTCCCAGACCGTGTGTGGCCGCTGCACTTACCTGGAATGATGAATGGGCTGTGTGGAGGGGAGGGGCAGGGTGAGTGTGGCCAGCCAGGGGTGGCATTTGGGGGTTCACCAAACCCCAGCGATCCTTGGTTTAAGAGGATCGCCCGAACCATGCCAAACCCCCAGGAGCCCACCCTTGTCTGATTCCCTAAATGGAAGAATTCTGGGAGAATGCTTCAATGTCCAGTGTAATTTTGTACTTATGTCTGACACAAAACATTCCTACAATAAATTCCTAGGCTACAACTTAACACATGGATTTGTAGCACGAACAGCTTGCTAGATGTAAAGTTTATATTTTAATTTTATATGATATTTTAAACACAACAGATTCTTAAGAATATGGATTGGATTTATTACAACCTACAATTTTGCTCAATATTCATGCTAAGTTGACTGTGGTTCTCAATATTCATTTTTAGCTTAGAGTTTAATAGTGATTTTAGTCAGTTCAAGTGGTATAATACATTCCGTTACTTACAACTAATTAATGTTTTATTGGAAAATTATAATCACCATGACATTTTAAATCTCTTGTGTATTCATTGGTATTTTCCTTTTAAGTCCCTTCCCCTTCCCCTTCTTGTTCTTGTCTTCTTTTTGTTTATATATCTTCTTTAATGTTTAATAAAAATACAAAAAAGTTAATTATATGCACAGCACAACAAGAACATATATTGAGATGTAATCTTTGAATGAATATGGTTTGTTAAGTACTTAGAATTTTTATTTTATTTCATGCATGTTTCATGGTGTTTACTGCTGAGAATTAGATGCCACAACTGAAGACCTATTGATGTCAGCTTTACAAGGTAGACCAGAGAAGAAAACACAACCAAATGAACTAATTAGATCAGGGGTGTCAAACTCTGACCAGCCATTATTCTATTGTAATACCAAGAAATGAAGTAATTTGAGCATTATTTCTTGAGGATACCAAAACAAGCAATGAGGACTCTGGCATAGTTGTAACTTTGGTGTAATGGCTGCAACAGTCATAGCAGTACCCTCTCATATGAACAAATCTATTTCAATTGTTGTCATTGTTAATCTTTTTGGCCAAGTTTAAACTTTAATCCCTTGCCAATAAACACATGATGTTCTTAATTCCTCCTCCATGTTTTTTTTTTTATTTTGTCAAGCATGTATTAGATAACATATATAAGTATAGACATGATTATGAATATATGAGATGGATACAAATAAAAGGGAATATTAGGACAGGGACGGTAGGCACACTCGTGCGCTTATGCACGCCCCTTACCGACCTCTTAGGAATGGGGTGAAGTCAACAGTAGACAGTCTAAGGTTAAAGTTTTGCAGGATTGGGGAAGAAACCACAGAGTCAGGTAGTGCATTCCAGGCATTGACCACTCTGTTGCTGAAGTCGTATTTTCTGCAATCAAGTTTGGAGCAGTTTACCTTAAATTTGTATCTATTGTTTGCTCGTGTATTGTTGTGGTTGAAGCTGAAGTAGTCATTGACAGGTAGGACATTGTAGCAGATAATTTTATGTACTACGCTTAGGTCAGACCGAAGGTGGCATAGTTCTAAGTTATCTAAGCCCAAAATTTCAAGTCTGGTGGCATAAGGTATTCTGTTGCGGGTAGATGGTATTGTTTTACCATTTCAATTGTTTTTATTCCCAAGTGTGCTTTCCCAATCCATTTTCTTGTTTGTTTTGATTTATTTATGTTAGCGAACAAAACAAAGCATGGACAATTTGGGGACAACAAATCAAAGGACCCCCAAGGACAGTTGCTGTATCCAGATGAAACCAGTATCAGAAGGTAAGGCAATGCTTGTCAATTGGACTGCAAAATGGGAAAGAACATGGAACATCAAATCATATGGCTGGAAAGGATATCAGAGGAATCCTAGTCCAACCTCCTGCTCAAGGCAGGAGACCTTATACCATCCTGACCAAATGGTGGTCCAATCTATTTTTGAAAACCTCCAGTGATGGACCATCCACAACTCTAGGAGGCAAATTATTCCATTTGTTAATTGTTCTCACTGTCAGAAAAATTATCCTTACTTTTAGGTTGGATCTCTCTTTAACAAACTTTTACCCATTACTTCTTGTCCTAGCCTCAGGTCCTCTAAAGAAAAGTTAACCCCCTCCCCTTACTCTATGACAGGCCTTCCAGTTCTGAAAGAGGCTATCATGCCCCACTTTAAGTCTTTTTTAAAAAAACAAGTTAGACATATCTACCTTCCTCATATGATTTAGCCTTCAGACCCTTTATTATCTTTATTAGTCTTTGCACACGTTCTAGGGCAGTGATGGCTAACCTTCCCCACTACCCCGTGAGGGCCACCTGTGGCATGCATGCCATAGGTTCGCAATCACGGTTCTAGGATCTCAGCATCTTTTTTGTATCATGGTGACCAGAACTCTAAGCAGTATTCCAAATGTGGCCTCCCTAAGATGCAGTGGTGGGATTCAGCTGGTTATCTCCAGATTGGGCGAACTGGTTGTGGCGACTGCGGGAGGCTCCGCCCACCCACCTGGACATAATGTGCGAGCACTGAGCATGCACAGAAGGCCATGCCCGTGTGCATAGGAGGTGCGTGCGAGTGAAGTGAGCATGCACACATGCACTCTCTCATTTGCCGAACGGTAAGGAAGGTAAGTGAATCCCACCTCTGCTAGGATGGTATAAACCAGTATTACCACTTCACATAATCTTCATTCTATCCCTCTGCTAATGCAGCCAAGACTGCATTGGCTTTCTCACAGCTGTAGCACACTGCTGACTCATACTTAAAGTGGTGGCTTTAAGTATGAGAACGCTAGATCGTTATCCCAGTTATTAGTGTTTAGCCATGTGCCACCTATTCTGTACCTATACATTTTGTTTCTCCTGCCTAAGTGCAAGACCTTATTTTCCTTATCATTGAACTACATCTTGTTGGATAGGACCCAAAGCTCAAGTCTGTCAAGATCCTTCTGAATCTTGAATCTATCTTCCAAAGTGTTGGCAATTTCCCCAAGCTTGGTGCAAATTTGATGAGTTCCCCTTATATCCCCTCATCTAGATAATTTGTAAAGATGTTGAATAGTACTGGGCCCAAGCAGAACTTTAAGATACCCCATTGTGTATTTCCTTCTTGTACAGCACATGCTCAGTTCCACTGAAGACTACACACTGGGTCCAGTTGGTCAGCCAATTAAAAATCCATCTGGTGGTCATACTGTCTATCCCACTGTATTGTTTCTTATCAAGAAGTAGGCTGTAATCTACTTGGTCAAATGCCTTACTGAAGTCCATGTCCACTATGTCCACAGCTTTTCTCTGATCCATTAATTTAGTTATTTTATCCAAGAAGGCAATAAGTTTTGATTGGCATGATCTGTTTTTAATAAATCCATGCTGGCTTCTAACAATCATCTTGTTCATTTCTAGGTGCTTACAAATCCTGCTTGATTATCTTTTCCAGAATTTTCCCAGGTATTGATGTTAAATCAATTGGCCTATAATTTCCTGGATCCATTTTTCCCCCTTTTTTTCCTCTGGTAGTTCCCCTGTGCTACAGGAGCTTTGAACTGTCAACAGAACTGTTGGAACTGTGCCCTGAAGGTGTGAAAGTTTTTCAATAATAGACCAGAAGGTTTTTTATACCAACAGGATTTGTGGCGTCGCCATCATAGTTGACATTCGTTCCCAGTCGGCAGCAGAAACACATTTTGGAAGGGTGAATAAATGAGGGCACTTTGTGGGAAAGCAGCCCTTGAAGTTTAACAGAAGCAAACCCAGCCGAGACAAAGAGATGCTTTCATATGCTACAATTTTCTGCCTTTTCTACCAGTATCAATGCAAGAGCCTTTCCTTTCACTTGACAAACAGAGGAAGCTTTGCTGAGATGATACTGAGTCAGAACCAGTCAACAGAAACTGTCATTGGTCATATGATCAGCAAGAACTGTTGTTGCTATGGTGACAACACTATGATAAATTAGTCCTGTCTCTGCTAAGCATTCTGTTTGCCTAGATGACTTTAAAGGTATTGCGTCCATCTCTCCCACCCTCTCTCTCTCCCTCCCTCCCTCCTTCCCTCTCCCTCCCCTTACTCACCCAATTAAACTTACTAAGAAGATTTGTTGATACTAAGAACACAAACATACATTATTCTTTGTTGGCTATGATAGGATCAGTGACCTCATGCTGTCTCAATTGCAGAAGTGTAGAAGGACAGCTGTTTGAGCTACATTACAGCACTAATGGTGAGATCTGGATTCTTTTTTTTTTTTTAAACAAGCTATTCCAAGCTGGATTTATTTCATGTCTTACTCTTTTTCTATTTGTTAATAATTGAGACAAATGCTAAATTTTAGGAAACTGAAAGGTTTCCTAAAATGAAAGGGGAGAGAAGAAGAAGAGTTATAACTTGAGTCAAATAGGCAGTAATATAAATTCAATAAATAAATAAACTTTTTTTAAAAAAAAAACTATTTGAATATAATATTTTGAATATACTAGCTATACAGTATATATTATCAATCCTGGTCAAACTACTGCAGCATGTGGCTCTCTTCATTTAAAGCTATGGACCATAATCATAGCATAATCACTAAACCATGTTAGTCCAGGATTGAGAATGATAAACCCAAGTCACCCAGTCACCTTACAGACTAGAAATATTATTGATTTTCTCAGTTGACCATATCCATCCAATCAGTTTCTGTGCATGCCTCACTCGAAGCATTTCATTATAGTGAATAAAAAACCCACACAAATCTAGAAAATCCAAATTGTGTAATTTTTGAAAATACACGAAGTGCCTAACAGATGCAATGTAGTTTATAACAGTTTAAACAATTAAGATTTAAATCGGAGTCCCAAACCTCTTTATTTCCACATAAGAACCAAATGAAGAGGGAAGGCTGACTAATTCACTTAACTTTCCCTACAGGACAATGTCCTATTTTGGAGCTGGAAGGGTAATCTTTCAGGTGATGGAGAAAGGGTAAAATGGTGGATTTGTGCTTATTTAAAGAAAATAGAGCAAAGCAAAGGGAAGTAGTAGGAAGCTTGGAAACTAAATAACAATAAAAATTTATTTTGGCTTTTGAACCAGCAATGTTTAACCTATGAATAATGGATGGAAACTGAACAAGGAGAGACTCGACCTGGAAATAAGTAGAAATATTCTAACAGTGAGAGCAATCAACTAATGGAACATCTTGCCTTCAGAAATTGTGAGAGCTTCATCACTGGAAGCTTTCAAGAAGAGACTGGACTGCCATCTGTCAAATGGTGTAGGGTCTCCTGCTTGGGTGGGGAGTTGGACTAGATGACTTTGTTCCAACTTTGGAAGAAGACTTCCAACTTTGTTAATCTGTATCTGACCTGTTACGTACGAGTTATATGCTATGTTTAGGCAAGATTTGACTCTTGTTCCTTTTTTTGCCCATCAGTGAATTTTCATGCACCAATTGATAATATATCCATTCAATTTGGCTATCCTGAACTTTTTTCCTGACTAAATGAGTTAGGGCTGTTGATTAGTAGTTGACAGTTACCTCTGGAAATGTATGCTGTAATCACAATAAAGTTATCACAGTTGGATCTGTCAGGGGCCAAAACTTTATGCATCTTATAAGAGTGAGATGATTGGACTAGACATGGACACTGTGGTTTTGATTTAAACAAAACAAAACAAAACTCTAGTGGCAGATAGTTTGATGTGGTGGTTAATCAAGATGCTAGAAACCAGGAGGTTGCAAGTTAAAAAATTTTTTTTAAAAAAAAATTATCTTGCTTGGAAATGTAATGGTATTTTAGAGCACAGACCACATGAATCTGATATCTGATAAATGTAGAACATAGAATAATAGGATTGGAAGGGACTTTGGAGATCCTCTAATCCAATCCCCTCCTATATTATTCTGGACAAATGGCTGTCCAATCTCTTCTTGAAAACCCCCAGTGATGGAACATCCATAATTTTCGTCGATAATCTGTTCCACTGATTAATTGTTCTCACTCTCAGGAAATTTCTCCTTAGTTCTACTTGGATCCAATAGAGGGTGTCAAAAATTTTTACTACTGGTTCTGTGGGTGTGGCTTGGTGGGCGTGGCAGGGGAAGGATACTGTAAAATCTCCATTCCCTCCCCACTCCAGGAGAAGTTTACTGCAAAATACCCATTTCCTCCCAATCAGCTGGGACTCGGGAGGAAGAGAATAGATGCGGAAGGGCCAGTCAGAGGTGGTATTTACCGGTTCTCCAAACTACTCAAAATTTCCACTACCGGTTCTCCAGAACTGGTCAGAACCTGCTGAAACCCACCTCTGGTTGGATCACCTGTTATTTTTTGTCCTGATCTCAGGTGTTCGGGAGAATTGTTACTTCCTTTTTTATATGAACATGACAACATGAACTTCCTGTATTTTGGAAAGGAAGTGTCCCTAGAAGTCTCTTAATGCCTTCCTGGGGTACTCGCAACTCTCTCTGAGGCATTAAACAGAAGCCAAGTCATCCTTATCAAGGGCCAGAACGAAGTTAAAGGTGGAAAGTTTCTCTTAATTAAAGTATTTTAATAAAAATAACCTTGACATTTGCACACTGGTAGCTAAAAATAAAGTTTTATTATTTTAGACAGATCTAGGACTTTATCCTAAAGTAGAGCAAGCCTTACTTAAGCAAACAGTCTTTATTCAAATAGATTCCTTTGCAGAAGGGGGAAGAAACTTTCCAATAAGGTTCTTAATTGCTTGCATGATTGGATTCACACATTGCTTTAAGTCATGTAAGAAGAAATTAAGCCTGCTTCCCAGGTTAAGATCTGCGTTAATATCAGTATTTGGAATATTTTCATTTTCTCCTTCTGCAGGTAGGATTTTCTTACTTTGCACCTCACGGCTATCATGGTTATATGCACAGAAAGAAAAAAGAGCAGATTTCATGGAACTGCAACCCAAAATAAAAATAAAAATAATAAAAAAAAAACACTACCGAAGGAAGCAGCAGGTTAATAGAGCCAGAAGAAAGAATAATAAGGCACAGAATTACAAAAAACAGTAGGACATTTCCTGAAGAAATTTACAGCTTGCAAGCAGGTGAAACATCTATTTAAAAAAAGAAGCAGGGTTTTGATAATCAAGTCAAGATTATCACCTTGAATTTTTTCCGACAACCTCCCCCATGCAGGCCCCTGTCTCTAAATCTCTTTGCACACTCAAAAGGACCCAGAAACTGCACAATCAAATAAAACCTAGCAATTTGGGCAGCATTATGTTCTACCTTTTTCCCTTCCACTCCTAATATGTCTTGGCAAAGGCAGGTTTTTTTTCTCTCTCTACCCAATTCTGCTTGGTCATATCCTTGCAACGAATTCCTCCCAATTGATTTGTAAATCTCATGCTCTGTGAGTCACTGTGAAAGAAAAACTACCGATGTGATGAAATCTGCCTCGTAATTTTGCCCAAAATGTACCTATCCCTATAAAATATGGCTCTGTTTTTCTAGATTATTCTCAGCATGTTTTTAAATTTCTTCCACATTTCAGAACAGAATAGAATAACAGAGTTGGAAGAGACCTTGTAGGTCATCTAGTCCAACCCCCCACCCCAATGGTTTAGGGGAGACCCTAAGCCATTTTTGACATATGGCACCCAGTCTCTTCTTGAAAGCTTCCAGTGGTGAAACTCCCACAATGTCTGAAGGCAAGCTGTTCCATTGGTTGATTGTTCTCACTGTCAGAAAATTTCTCCTTATTTCTAGGTTGAATCTCTCCTTGATCAGTTTCCATCCATTATTCCTTGTCTGTAGTGGTGGGATTCAAATAATTTAACAACCGGTTCTCTGCCCTAATGACCAGCTGGGTGGGTGTGGCCATGGTGGATCTGATAGGCAACACTCAGCCTCCTGAACCCCCCTGGGAGCAAAAACAGGCCGCGAGGGTCGCACCGCCCCCCCCCCCACACTCCATTTTGGGCCTAGTAGGCCTCCCTGCACTTACCTGGGAGGCAAAACAGGGTACGTGGGGACTTCTAGAAGCGGCGGGGAGGGCGGGGCCAGACAGCAATTTAACAACCGGTTTGGTTGAAGTAGTGCGAACTGGTTGAATCCCACCAATGCTTGTCTGGCCTTCAGGTGCCTTGGAAAATAGCTTGACCCACTTTTTATTTATTTGTTCAACTTGTATGCCGCCTTTCTCCGAAGACTCTTGTCTGTGGCAGCCCCTCAAATATTGGAAGACTGCTATCATGTCTCCCCTGGTCCTTCGCTTCACTAGACTAGCCATGCCCAGTTCCTGTAGCCATTCATCGTATGTTTTAGCGTCCAGTCCCCGAATCATCTTGTTTTTCTTTGCGCTCTTTCTAGTGTCTCAACATCTTTTTATAGTGTTGTGACCCCAACTGGATGCAGCATTCTAGGTGTGGTCTTACTAAGACTTTATAGAGTGGTATTTCTTCCACATTTCTTTGGTGGGGTTTGGGAGGGTTTCTTTATTGCTGGAAGTGGGTGAAGTCTATTGATACTGATACAGTCATTTGCTGATGCATAATATTGTATCACAGTAAAGCATCTCCGGATGGTCACATGTCAACAACTAGAAAACCTAAACAGGGCAAGTTTCCCTAAAATGGATTTAATAGAAGTGTGGAGTAGCTGGGAAGTTGCAGGCCACTGGGGAGAGGATTGCCATGGTGGCACAGTGGTTAGAGTGCAGTAATGCAGGCTACTTCTGCTGACTGCCAGCTGCATGCAATTTGGCAATTCAAATCTCACCAGGCTCAAGATTGACTGAGCCTTCCATCCTTCTGAGGTGGGCAAAATGAGGACCCAGATTGTCGGGGGCAATAGGCTAACTGTGTAAAAACCGCTTAGAGAGGGCTAAAAGTAAAAGCACTGTGAAGTGATATATAAGTCTTAAGTGCTATTGCTACTGCCTTAGACTTAGAATAACTTTATTGTCACTTTGAATGTACACTAATCGGCATACATTAAAATGAAATTTCATTGCATACAGCTCTCAAAGGGACTTCGCCTTCAATATATACTACATAAACATGACAAAATAAATAAATATAAATATAAATAATATAAATATAAATATAAATATAAATATATCCACATATATTATATGACACGGAGAAACAACACAGTCTAGTTTGTATGTATACCAGAGGTGGGTTTCAGCGGGTTCTGACCAGTTCTGGAGAACCGGTAGTGGAAATTTTTAGTTCGGAGAATCAGTAGTAAAAATTCTGACTGGCCCTGCCCCCATCTATTCTCTGAGTCCCAAGTCCCAGCTGTTTGGAAGGGAATGGAGATTTTGCAGTATCCTTCCCTTGGAATGGGGAGGGACTGGAGATTTTACAGTATCCTTCTCCTGCCACGCCCACCAAGCCACACCCACAGAACCAGTAGTAAAAAAATTTGAAACCCATCACTGATGTATACATGTACATTGCACAGAGAAAAAATGCAGCATTCATGCTAGAAACCACAATTCACTCATGCTATTTTCACCAAAATGTCCTCAAACTAAATAAGAACCAGCAGAAAAAAAAGTGTGGCAGGCCTTAAGTAAATTACTCTGGGAGAAGAATGAACAGGAACAATGGTAAATTCAGATCCAGCAAATAGACCGCTGAAGCTTCTGAACATGATTTTGGGACAAACTAAATATGCATGCTGCGTTTCAGACTGACATTTGCACCTTATTTTGGAAACAAAGATGGGGTTTGGATGTCAACATAGCCTTCACTTTTTTCTCCAACCTATGTGACAATTAAAATGAGCAGAACACGAGTAACGTTAGGTCTCATGTTTCTCCCATTTTAATTGTCCTATAGGTTGAAGAAAGTAAGGAAAGCTATGCTGCCTGTCTGAACCACTACACTCCCTTTTCCCCTTTCAAGGTAATGATTTGAGACAAGTGGAATAATTAATGACAATACTGACATTATTTGCATTTTGAGCAAATAATCATAGAATCATAAAGAGTTATAAAGTATTTTTTTGAGAACTAAATGAGATATGGACTGAACACACAATGTTTTAAAACCATTCATTTATATCATCAGGCTGAAGGTGTTACTTATGTATTGATGTTCACTACTACTACTGCCCAGTGGTGAAATCCAATTTTTTTTTACTACTGGTTCTGTGGGTGTGGCTTGGTGGGCATGGCTTGGTGGGCGTGGCAGTGGAAGGATACTGCAAAATCGCCATTCTCACCCCTGTCCAGGGGAAGGATATTACAAAATCTCCATTCCCACCTCACTCCTGGGGGAAGGATATTGAAAAATCTCCATTCCCACCACACTCTGGAGCCAGCCAGAGGTGGCATTTGCCGGTTCTTCGAACTGCTCAAAATTTCCGCTACCGGTTCTCCAGAACCTGTCAGAACCTGCTGGATTTCACCCCTGCTTCTGCCCCAAAGGATAACCCACTTCACCCATTACTTCACACTGCCAGGAGAAAACGGTGCAGAAACCTACTATAAATATGACTTGTGTCTTACAATTGGAAATTGATAGGTATCTTCTTTGAGGGCTTTCTAGATAAGGGGCCCTTGGTGCTCACTGAGCTTGCTTGTTTTCTTGCAGATATTTCATCACCCTAACTAGGTAAGTTTAGATAAGTGTAGTTCTCAAGATCTGTTGCTATCCTTCAATCTCTGCCTTTTAAAGTTTCTATTTTTAACATTATTTTTAGTATTATCCAGGAGAAGCCTGACACACCAGGCTAAGCATGATGTGTGAATCTAGATACCATGTCATGTATATTTTAACCCTGGGCAAAATCAGTTTGCCCTTATGCCAACTTGAGTAATTTTTTTTAATAAAATGTTGCATGTGACATCCATCCCAGTTGCAAATACAATTCCTTCCTTCTCATGGCCACAAAAATATTTAAAGGGGGTTCGTGGTAAAGAAAAGGTTGAGAACCACCCATCTAATGATAACTGAATATTTGCACCTAAGATATTGGTAATGGTGTATATAAAATATAAACATGCATGATGGTCCCTCAAAGGATTGCAATGTCTGTTGGTAAATTGAAAACCCAGGAAGCAATTAAAAAGAGAATGAATAATGGAGGAGGATTCACTTGGACAAGTAGACAGTAGGTAAGATAAGGCTAGGACAATCTTGTTCAATAAAGCATCTAGCAAACATGATTCTATTGATCTACCCCTTCTGAAAGGGGTAGATCTAAAGCAAGGAAAGAAGGAAGGAAGGAAGGAAGGAAGGAAGGAAGGAAGGAAGGAAGGAAGGAAGGAAGGAAAGAAAGAAAGAAAAGGAAAGAAGGAAGGAAGGAAAGAAAGAAGGAAAGAAGGAAAGAAAGAAGGAAAGAAGGAAGGAAGGAAGGAAGGAAAGAAAGAAGAAAAGAGGGAAGGAAGGAAGGAAAGAAAGAAAGAAAGAAGGAAGGACAGTTGGTATTATTATATAATCTTGAATTTGTCTTTAAGGAGTGAAGGCAAAAGAATAAGGCAGTAAAAAAAGAATGGTTGTTACAGTCAAAAAGATTAAACATTCAGCTAAACATTGAAGCACAACTAATTATTTATTTTAAAAAAAACTTCAAACTATTTATCCGGGCTGATTTATCCAGCTGCACTAAGCCTGATCAAAACAGAAAAAGCCACAGCACTGGGGCATTGGTGGCACCTTTTTTTTCCAGATGAAAGATTGAATGTCTGACAAAGTCCTGGGTGACAGAGAATGGCTGAAGTTCCAAAGGATCAGAAAATAATGTGCTGCCCACTTTGACCACAGAAAGCAGCATGCCAGTTGCTATAAATTGTATTTTTCCCTGGGAAAGAGTTGAGAAAAACTCCAAGAAAGCATCTTTCACATATTTTAGTGCCCATCTTCCAAATGTTGCTTAAATAAAAAATACCAATTAATAGTGGTGCATTGTGAACTCGGGAGAATGTAACGAAATGATATTACCAGGATCATAGGCTTTGAAAAGGGGTTAAATGAATTGAAATGATGTTTTTTAATATAATAGACCCCAGAGAGAGAGGGAGGGAGGGAGGGAGGGAAGAAGGAAGAGGGAGGGAGAGGGAGAGAGAGAGAGAGAAAGAAGAGAGAGAGAGGGAGAGGGAGAGAGAGGGAGAGAGGAGAGAGGGGGGAGAGAGAGAGAAAGAGAGGGGGAGAGAGAGAGAGAGAGGGAGAGAGAGGGAGAGAGAGAGAGAGCTGATAGCAGTCTTCCAATACTTGAAGGGCTGTCACAGGGAAGAAAGAGCTTTGGTGGCGCAGCAGACTAAAGCACTGTTAAGAAACACCAGCTGCCTGCAATTACTGCAAGTTCAAATCTCACCAGGCTCAAGGTTGACTCAGCTTTCCATCTTTTCGAGGTAGGCAAAATGAGGACTTGGTTTGTGGGGGCAATAAGCTGACTTTGTATAAAAAAGAAGACCGTTTGGGGGGGGCAAAGCCCTACTAAGCAGGTATATACAAAAGTATGAAGGCTATTGCTTAACGCATTGTAAGCCGCCCTGAGTCTCCGGAAAAGGGCGGCATATAAATCAAACCAATAAATCGAATCAATAATAATAAAGTGTTGATTTATTCTCCATAACACTTGAGAGTAGAACAAGAAGCAATGGGTGGAAGCATGTGGAGAAGGAGATGCAATCTGGAAATAAGGAGGAATTTCTTGACAATGGGAATGATTAATCAATGGAACAGAGCTTGCCTTCTGGACTTGTGTGTGCTCCATCACTGGAGGTTTTCAAGAAAAGATTGGACAATCATTTGTCTGGGAGGATGTTAGTACTTTTGTCAACCATTACCTGGATGACTGAGAATCTCCATAGACATATTAGTACTTCTGCCTTGGGCAGAGAGTTGGACTACAAGACCTTTAAGGTCCCTTCTATCCCTAAGATTCTAAGAAGCTGAAAAAATCAACTTCTTGATTTTTGAAAAAAAAAATTGTCCTCAATCTAGAAAGAGAGAGATCGATCAAAAAGTGGTTTATATCTAGGCTCTTGCTTCCGTTTTCTGAAATATTTGTCTGAGCCCAATTGTATCATACCTTTTGCAGACAGATACTATAGGAACCGTTATTCCTTCCTACTGTAATTCTGTGTTCCTTGACAACTTTTTTCACAGTGTTGCATGGCTAAACTTTAAGAGTGTGGAAGGTGGGGGAAAATGGTAGCAGCAATCCAAAATGTCACCCCTTCTTCCATTTGCACTTCTATTCTTCCCACTTGTCACAGGAAATACTTCCATCAATGCCATGATTTTAGCGCAGACATTTTTTTGAGTCTTTCTCCAAGAACCAGACCAATATATACTTGAAGAACCGTTGTTATTTGCTTCCTCCAGACATGAGGCTCTCATATTAAACACAGAATGACTTTTAATCAAAAGTGACCTCACTGTGGGTTTTTTTCTGTTTTGTTTTTTTTAAAAAAATCCTCTGCATGAGATCATATCAGATTTCTGATACAAAAATCTTGACCTTTCTTTTTAGCTTGTTGATTAAGGTACTAATAATATTGGGGGAAAGAGATTGAGAAATCAAATCCGGGGAATAAAATGAGAAAAATAATAATAATAATTTGGGACAGAAAATGAATGGGTGTCTTCCTTACCTACATTAGACAACGGAATTACCAATTTCTTCCTTCAACCCCATCAAAAATGAGCCGTTGTGTTCCAGTCAAATGATATGTGGAGAATTTTCCACATATCATTTGACTGGAAAGTGTACTGTCTTGTAAAATGTAGATATTGCATGTTATACTTTAACCTATTAACGAAGATGACTACATTTGATACCTGATTCTCACAATTCAGCAGTGGAACCAATTATATAGGGTTCATTGGATATATCGCTTGTTGGGGATACTTTATCACTAATTCCGGAATGAACAGGTGTTTCCACTCAATTACCTAAATGGTCCAAATTTATGACAGTGGGAACCACAAGACCATCCAAAGCATTTAAAGAGACACTTGGCAAACTACGCATTCTTAACAAAGCACTCCACCCTGCTGTATTGCCAAGAGATTCAGCAGGGCTGCTTCAAATGCTTTCCCATCGTTTTCATATGGGTAGACCAGCATAATGGCCTCACTCTATTAATCGTTTCAGCAGAGGGTGTTGTGTTGTCTCTGTGTACAAATGTATATAAATACAAGCTGGGAATGCACTTGAAGCAACTGCATCAAGTCAAGACTTCTGAAACATACAGCCGCCTCACAGCTTTAAGTGTGATTTGGTCAAGTCAATGTACTTTGCAAAGTGCCCCTTTCCAATATACATTATGAAGCTCTGAAAAACATCCAAGGACAATTTTACATTGGTTTTACCTGCCAAATACATAAGGGCAGAGATATAGATGGTGACCACGTCCTTGGAGTTCTGGAAGCCTCTGGAAGACTTGGCTTTGGTGTCAGAGCTTGGATTAATAAAATGGAGCTGATATGTGTTTTATAGTGGCTGTTTTAGTCCATATTGTCTTGTCTATTTTATGCTTTTTGTTTTAATTTTGCATTAGATTTTGTAAGATGCCCACAGTTTGCTGGAGTGGATGGCCATAATAAATACAATGAAATAAAATAAATTATAAGATGAACACTTCTATCAAAGAACGATTATGTCCATATTCCCCATCTCCCAAGGAAAATAATTCCTGTAGAGTCAAAAACTATTTGAGTGCACTGCCAGAAATAACATGAACAAAATCATAGGAATATCACAGCCAGAAGATCTTGCTGAGTAGTGGAAACAACTGAGAATAATCTGCTATAAAGGCAATCTATATATACTGAAATTCTCATTGTGTTTATCTGTTTGTCTGTTTGTACCCTCAAGTTAGCTCAAAGAGTGCATTATACCACAAAAAAATTAATGTTCATTCTGGCCACATCACATTGCCTCTCCAAGGATGACCCAATGGGTCACAGAGTTGTCTACTATACCCTACTGCTGGTTGACTGTTCATCTGAACAATCAGAAGAAATTGAAAACAGTTTGAATTGCATATTTTAACTTACTGCATATGTTTGTTTGCATTTTTCTCCCTGTCATAAATCTCCTCATGCATTGGCCTTGAATGCATATAGCAATAGCAATAGCACCAGTGCTGGGTGCACTGCCTTTACTACCGGTTCGCATTGTGCCCATGATCACTTCTGATGACGTCTGGGTCAGCGGGCGGAGCCTCCCTCCGGTTTTACTACTGGTTCTTGTGAACCGGTTCGAACCAGGGGCAACCACCACTGAATAGCACTTAGACTTATATACCGCTTCACATTGCTTTGCAGCCCTCTCTAAGCGGTTTACAGAGTCAGCATATTGCCTCCAACAATCTGGGTCCCCATTTTACCAATTTTGGAAGGATGGAAGGCTGAGTCAACCTTGAGCCTGGTGAGATTTGAACTGCTGAACTGCAGGCAGCCGGCAGGCAGCAGAAGTAGCCTGCAAGTAATGCATTCTAACCACTGCGCCACCACAGCTCTCTGTTGAGGGTATCATCAAGGTAATCCATTTAAGATAGCATCCAACTCTCTTTTCTGATCTAATCAAAAGCTTAAAGAACAGCTATTTTAAAAAAGTGTGCAAGAGAAAGTCACCCTAGACATGAAATGACGATAAAACTAAACTATTCATATACAAAAAGTATTGAACTGAAAGTTTATTACAAAAGAGCCAGTTTTTCTTTCTCGTTTGTTATGGTGCTGACAGCACTTCCTTTACATAGCATGTTCTGGGTGGTTTGATGCTCTTGTTTTGCAGAATTTTATGTTTCTCATGTAGATGACTCTGCTAGAAGGACATTTTCTTTTGGTTCCTGTTTTATCTCATTCTTAATACTATTCTTAAATTTCAGTCAATGGAAAGGAAAGGAAAGGAAAGGGAAGGGAAGGGAAGGGAAGGGAAGGGAAGGGAAGGGAAGGAAAGGAAAGGAAAGGAAAGGAAAGGAAAGGAAAGGAAAGGAAAGGAAAGGAAAGGAAAGGAAAGGAAAGGAAAGGGATGAACTGAAATATTAGTCTAAAAAGTCAAGGAAAAATGGTAAATGTGCAAGTGATTTCAAGAAGATGTCATTTAACCTAAGCTGTGGCCACAATTATTTCATTATAGCTGACCAGCTCAAGGTTGACTCAACCTTCCATCCTTCTAAAATTGGTAAAATGAGGACCCAGATTGTTGGGGGCAATATGCTGACTCTATAAACTGCTTAGAGAGAACTGAAAGCACTATGAGGCGGTATATATGTCTAAGTGCTCTTGCTATACCAGCATAAGTCTTTCTTTCATTCCAGGACTTTCAGGGAAGCAAAGGTAAATGAGACACCCATGACAGATCAAGATGCTGGCAAGCAGATAATACGGAGGACTTGGAATGGGCCATAAGCACTCCAAATAGAGGTTTCTCACCAGATGATTATACAAAAGTGGTCTCTAGTGGATTTTAGAGTTCTGGGAGCAAAGAAAGAGTCAACTTTGTCCAAGTTGTCTATTCCTATTCAGAACCTCTAAATGGCTACTGGGTTCGCCCACTTCCTTTCTTAACCAGTTACAGAAATCTCTTGTGAATTACTTATTAGTCATTAAGTACCTTCAGAACCACAGGTTTTCATCACACCAGGTGAAAAAAGTTTCATGTAACTTTAAGAACTTATTTTAAAAAATATTCTGAACTAAACTGAAAAAGGGTGATTAAAATGTTGATTTTAGAAAGATACAAATGGACCAAGGGGCCAGATGGATTGGAAATAAGATTTTGAAATTAATTATAAGAATCCTTCCTGTGGGTTGTTTAAAATCCTATTAAAAATATATGAAGATTTTGCATCTAAATATAAAATCTTCCCATAGGAAATTGTGTGGATTAGAGAAAAACATGATAAGAGGAGACTTTAAAGGCTGGATGCTACAGGCAACCAGAAAAAACTAAAAATTATAATTAAAGGGAAAGCGATCCACTGATACAGAATGGAGAAAAGTATTATAACTTTGCAAGAACTCAAAGTTATTTGTGACCAATGCACTTGGAAATTCCTTTTAAGACTGCCTGCTACCGTAAAAATTTATTTAAAAGATGAAACAGAAGAGGATACAACTGAGAATCAGATTGTTTTAGATTTGGATTTAAAAATGACAAGTTACAAGAATAATACAAGTTATAAATTGCAAGAATTATAGAAGTTACAATGGATTTACAAATGAAACTAGCTGATGTTTTAATCATTAAAAGGGACATATAAATAATAATCAAAAGAGTGAATTGGATAACTTCCCATCTTGGACTACAAAAAAGATGTGTTAGACTTATGAAAAAAATCCAAAGAAAAGACAAAGAGAAAATGAAAAGAAATTGGCTTGTGGGCCACTATTAAAAAGATTTTGAAATGTAAAAAGGAATATAACATTGTCTTATTTAATCAAGATAAAACTAGCTCTGATGATAATGACTTAATCTGGGTCATAACATCCAACAGTGTGCATCAGGAAATAATGTATGGACAGTTTTACCAGGGTTACAGAGTTAAATAAACCATGAAATGACTGAGGGTGAGAATTGAGTTGGTCCTTTTGGAAAACCAGGTTTTACTGCAGGATCCGTTGGTCACTTCGTGAGATCATTCCAAACCAGAGACTTAATGTAACTGCCTGAAAACTTGAAAAGAGATCCTTTGAAAGATAAAATAATAAATAAAGCAGGGCAGGGAGGCAGAGGAAATTAAACACTAGCATTTTATGAGAGCTGAAATGAAAAGAAATGTCTCCAGTATAATAAGACATCAACAGATGATAGTGCAGGCACAGCAGAAGCTCTGAGACACTTTTAGCATCTCTTCTTTCATCTTCTTTGGGAAGAAGATGCTATGAGAAAAGGTTGGATTCTTAGTTGTTGATAATATGATGCCTGCAGTGAGTATTTGTCAGTGAACATTTAACAATGCATCATGGTTGTAGCTTTCGCAGCTGAAAAAGTGCTTTCAACTGAAATTCATCATGATATGCAGGTTGATTATTGTGAAGATCAGTGATGGGTTTCCAATATTCTTACCACCGTGCACGCTTGCTTCATACATGCGTGTGCCTTCCAAGCATGCACCCAGTCTTCTACACATGCTCTTTGCTCGCTCGTGCACCCTCCGCACATGCACCCAGCCTAGAAAATGTGCCTAAATAGGATGGCATACAGGCAGGGCAGGTGGGCAGGTCCACCCGCGATCTCCGCTACCAGTTTGCCTAAATTGGTATGAACCGGCTGAATACCGCCTCTGATGATGACTATGCTAACATGAGCACTGTGTAGCTCTGGGACCCCAAAAATAAATATATCTAAAGATGGTAAATCAAGATGAGCTGCTTTGTGTAATCAAGAACCTGTAATAGCATTCAACAAGTTTCACTTAAAACAGGTTGATGAACAGATTAAGCAGTATCGGCAAATCATACAACGAGAAATTGATTTGACAAGCTTGGCATTTTTCACAGGAGCATGTGGGCTATTTTATTGATATTGTTCAATATTGGAAGTTTGTGCATGTTGGGTTCCTTACATGCTGACAGGAGAGATGAAAGCTTCAAGAGTTGAAATTGGCCAACAATTGTTGTTACACTACAAAAATGAAGGTGAGGAATTTCTACACAGCATCATGATAAGTGACAAAACATTGGCTCATCATTATGACCTAGAAATGAAATGTCAGTCCATGGAATATCATCATAAAGTTTTATCGGTGGGGGGAAAAAATAAATACACAGGCTTTGGCAGGAAGACTTGTGGTAACATTTTTTGAGGGGACACAGATGGTATTATTTCCACCACTGTCATAGAGCATTACATTGTCACATATATTATTTGAAATGCTTAAACAGGGTTTGGAAGCATTTGTTTGCTACAATGTAATAATGCTAGGTCCTCAAGAGAACCTGTAAACACTATATCACCCTCATCTAGATACAGTTCAGACTTGGAACCATTCTGTTCCAATCCCAATCCCAATTCCAATTCCAATTCTAATTCTAATTCCAATTCCATTCACTCTACTCTACTCTACTCTACTCTACTCTACTCTACTCTACTCTACTCTACCCTACCCTACCCTACCCTACCCTACCCTACCCTACCCTACTCTCTATATCCTAAACCCTAACTCTATTATCCAAATTGAAGGAATGCCTTCATGATCCTCTTTTTTTTTTTGACTCAAATGAAGAAGTAGAAAGGACTGTTGGGACCTTATTGAAGAGACAACAAGTGGAGTTATTTCATGATGACTAAGAAGCTTCCTCATTCTTGACTGAAATGTGTAGCAAATGGCGCTGATGATAAATGTAGATAAAGAAATTTCAAGTTCAACAAGAGAGTCTTTTGCAGTCCTTTAAGACATCCTCTTTTTTCTAAATTCACTATCCAGTGCATAAGCATAATTATTCTTGGGAAATTCTTTTCCTTAATTTAAGATGAGGGACACTTTAATGTGTCCCTGATCTTATCCTATCCTCAGGAAAAAAAATTATTGATGGCCTAAATGGCTTTGCCCAGTTCTAGGATTCCAGACTTTAATGGGTTCTATAAAATAG